ATCCCATTTGATAAACAATATATTTAGACATATGGTATCACATCGCTTATTTATTAATAGTGTGTTTTCTGTAGTTTTGTTTGTAAATAGATACTCGTATCTATGATATTATTAACTTGAAATTATTTTTATCGAACTTAAATTATTTTTATATATATAACTTAACGACATTTATAATACCCCGTATTTTTATACATATTTTAATTTAAATCATTATTTTATGAAGTATTTAAATAATTTGAAATGAATTATCTATGGTATTTTATTAATTTAAAAAGAATTATTTTAATTAAGGTCCATTTTTATTTATTTAATTGTTTTGGAAATATTTTATTTTATTATTTAGAAACTTTGGGGCATATTATTTTATAAAATAAAATTTAAAGTCAATGGTATTTAAAGAAAGTCAAAGGAATAGTTTGAATAGGAGAAGGGATCATTAAGGGTAGGAAGGGAATTTAAGCTTAGGAGGATTTTAGAGAGAGAGTATAAATACTCATCTTATGAGCAAGTTAGCTCTTGCCCAAGGTGCACAATACCCAAAGGTAAACTCTCTCTCTCTCTCCTCTTATTTTCTCTTTCCTTTAATTTCCCCCCTCCCCTTTTTAATTTTACAAACATCACCACAGACACCCCCACCATCACGACGGCCGGCTGCCACCACCACCATAGCCGGTCGAAGCCGCCAGCACAGGGCCGGCAGCAGCAGCAGCCGTGGGAGGTGGCGCCAGCCACCCTCCCTTTTTCCCCCTTGCGTGCGTGTTGTGATGATTTTGTTTTAATCCTAATCTAGCCTTGATTTAATTATTGTTTTTTGGTTTTGTGATGATTTTTATGATGTTTGATTATAATTATTATGTATATAATTTTCAGATTTGGTTTTTGAATTAAAAAACCTCAAATTGAAAACCCTAGGTTTCTAAATTAATGTATATTGATGGAAATTGATTGTAGGTGATTGAAACTATTAAATTAAATGTTTTTAAACATAATAACAATAATTTTACATGTTTTTATTAAGCTGGAATTTTTATATAAAGGTTAAAATTATGTTTCTTGAAGGGATTTTTAATTACCAAATGGTTTTAAATTAATTTTCAGCTTGTTTTAGAGGGTTTATGAGTGATTTAAAGAGTTTATATATTGCTGGAAATTTATATTGAATAGGTATTATTGTCTCTTTGTAATTTTGGGTTGTAGGAGATTTTCAAGTGAGTGATTTTGTATAGTCGTGGCGATTTTGAGATCATATTCAAGGTACGTTCGCGTACTCGGTAATTATTTAAGTGTATAGAAGCATGCTAGTCTTTGTATAATTAATTCCATGGTGGTATCATGTTAGGTGTGAATTGGAATTGGTGATTGGATTAATGTTGGTGATTGAGTTGTGATGTATGAATTATTTATGATGGATTTATGATTGGAATTAATTATATTTGCATGTTGAATATGAACTACACTTTTATTATTGGCATGATTGAAACTAAATGTTTAATTTGGTTTGGAATATAAAAAGGGAATTTTATTGTGGTTCATATAATTTTTATTGATGCTTTAAGCATGAGAATTGAGCTATTAAGTGTCTTAGTACACAGGGATAAATTATATTGCGGTGCCTATGTGCACTTAAGGTGTTTAAAACACCGAGAGATAGGATTTGCGGTGCTTTATGCGCTTAAGGTGCTATTTAAAACCGAGCTAGTTTAAAAAGGATTCAACATTAAAATTATGTGATCATTAATTATTCAAGAATTAAATTGGTATTTTTGATTGCTTGAATGATTTATTATGGTTGATTGTATGATGGTTTGAGAGTCATCACCAAGTTTAAAAATATGTAAACAACGTAAAGTGAAAGAAATTACCTACCAAAACTCTTGGAACGTATATACCTCAAGTATGAACATATGGGGGAGTTATGGGGTTTTATATTTAACCATGACTTCTACTGGGAGTACAGGACGCTGTATTTTCCTTTTTATTATTATTATTATGCGCAGGACGTCCAGTCACTTTATGCGGCATTTGCCTACCCGGTTAGCTCCCGGTATAGTTTACCTCAATTTATTTGGGGTAGGGATTTGGTGGGAAACTTGTTCGATGCGTAATCAAATTAAATAAGCAATTTAGTGGTCTATTTATTTGTTGGTTATGTTGTATGCTTGAAAACAGGTTCAACAAGGTAAGTTGTGTGTTGATAGGATTAAAGCATGTTAGTGTGTACTGTTTACGCTTATGTACTCAGCTTTGTTGATTGTGTGTTGTATGTTTGTTTGGCCTTGTCTTTAGCTTGGCCCTATGACGGCCCATTTCTAATGGAGAGTAGTGGGGACAAAGTAAAGAGGAGTTTTTCAGGTGTGGAAGCATATTCACGATGGACATGAGTGAAGAACGAATCTTATTTAGTTTTCATAAAAATATGATGTGGTTTAATTTTGTTGCTTTAATTATTATATATTTTGCTTGCGAGACTAACACAAAGGTTTTCAAATGTTTTATCTCGGTTTTATTAAGGGCCTACAATGGTTCCAAGTTGTAGGGTTGACTTTGTTTGACTTTGGTTGACTTTACTTTCTCTTGGTTTGACTTTTTAAGTTGACTTGTTTTGAATGATTTAAAGAGAGTCTTCCGCTGTGTGTCTTTGATAATTGCCTTAGCCGTTTTCACAGTGGCGGTAATGTCTTAGAATTTCCTATTTCATATTTTAAAGGAGCAAAACAGGTATTTTAAAGGAAAGGAATTTCTAGGGTATTACAACATTAACTAACATTATTTTTACTGATTAATGTAAATAGATATATATGATATTATTAACTTGAAATTATTTTTTTCGAACTTAAATTATCTTTATGGAACTTAAATTTTTATTTTTTTTTGACATTGACTAAAATTATTTTACTGATTAAAGCTTATTTTTAGCCTATTCTCTATTATTTTATAAATATATTATAAATGAACCTTATTTTAAAGAACTTTTTAAAATAAATTTTATGATGGAAATAGAACCGAGTTATAAGATATTTATTAAAAATTATGATTAATTTTGTATATATGAAATAGTAGAAGTATATTGATAATTAAACTCTATACAATAGTTTTATCTTAAAAAATCTATCCAGAATTCGCTTATTTAGCATCATATGTGCTACAATAATACCTATTTGTCGTATATGTGGCTCGGCGCTTGGCGAAAAACTGAAATGCCAAGTGTCGCTGTCTCGTGGCCTGACTACAAGACCGGCTTTATTTATTAGTAATATATGATATGATATGATATTAGATTTTATATTTGGACGGATCAAAACGTGACACGTGGCAAGGTGACTTGTTATTGTGGGTTGATGACCGGTTTGACTTGATAAAAAAGAATGGGGTATAAAGCTTCGATTATTATACAATAATCAAAAGGGTGGATTATTAAAAATAAATCGTGCAAAGGTTGGATTATTTAAATCAAATTTTCCTAATTTCAACTTGTGTGGACACAATAATTTAACATAAATTAACTTTAAAAATAGGAAAAATTCATGGCAATAATCCGATCTTTAGCCCATTCTTTTTTAATAATCCGACCTTTCGATTATTATTTAATAATTCGACCTTTAGGGGTCTTTAATTTTTATTGGTCCCAACCGGTTATGTAACCTGTTATAACAGGTTACATGACACGTGGCGGTCTGTGATTGGTCAAAAACAAAAAAAAAACAAAAAAACAAAATAAAAAAAAAACAAGAAAAACAAGAACAAAAACCCACTGCCTAACCCACCAGCCCCCTCCCCTCCCCCACCGGCGCAGCCTAACCCCCACCCAGCCCTCTACCCAGCACCGGATCCGGCCACCCAGCCCCCAACCATATCACCAGCACCGACATCGGTGCGCGACGATCTCCTCCTTGATCAGAGGAGATCGATTTCAACTAAGGTGGAGGTACGGGTGAAGGTGGCCGAGGTCGCGGTTCAGGTAGGGTGATGGGGTAGTGGTTTCGATTCAGGTACGGTGATGGGGTGGTGGTTTTGGTCAGGTAGGGTGATGAGGTGGTGGTTTCGGTCAGGTAGGGAGGGGTGGACTAGGTTTTTTTTTGGGGGGGGGGTGGGGTCTGGGGTGTTGGTCGGGGGTGGTCGGTATGGGTGAAGATGGCTAGAATCGTTGGTGGTCTGGGGTGTTGGTCGGGGGTGGTCGGAATTGGGCGGGGGAAGGAGGGGAGGCTGGTGGGGTGGTTTTGGGGTTCGGGTCTGGTGGGGATAGTGGTTCTAGGGTTTGGTTTTGGGTGGTGGTGGGCTGTGGCTGGGTTTTGGTTTTTTTTTTTTTTTTTTTTTTGCCAATTATGTAATGACACGTGTATTTTAAACAAAAAAAAAATATTTACCTCTTCAACTAGTTTCTGGTCAAATGGGACCAATAAAAATTAAAGACCCCCACAGGTCGAATTATTAAAAAAGAATGGGCTAAAGGTCGGATTATTGCCATGAATTTTTCCTTAAAAATAAACCCGACCTCACCAAATCCAATCCGAATACCCAAATTGACACTCTATAAAAAAAAATCCTCAATGACTCACTTCACTAGGAGCGGCTACATGTACAAATTGCTGAGAACAGACGTTGAGACGTGGTTACTGGTAAGTAGTTTCGTTTTTTTAAGAAAACAAATGCCAAATAGGGGGCTAGTGAATCTAAATTAGCACCATATATGAAAGATTTAAAAGGCATCTTTTACGTAAAAGGTGGTGAAGTGATGATGCAAATACGTACTTAATTAATGCCACTCCTTCCCCACTATTTTCTTATTAGAGCTCTTCATTATCATCGTAATATAAAAATATAATAAAAAATTTTTTTAAAAAAATAATCTTTTTTTAACATTTGTATCAACACCCCGTGCCACACGAGATAAAAAAAAAATAGCTATAAAGTACTTTTTTATTTTCAAACAAGTGCATCATTTCAACTTTTGCACTAATTACGTATTAATTTTGACTTGATATTATACTAATAAATTAACGTACAAATGTTATTATATTAAATTTTGCTGAATTAATCACAATATATCCATAATATCAACTTTTTACTTGGGGAGTATTCCTTAAGCTAATTGACATCGACTAAATTGTCTAAACTAAAAGTCAAACTCGAGCATATATAGAAGTCTAACCGATACATCAACCCTTGTGATTTGGGATAAACCTAAGAAAATGGAGAAACGAGAGAATCCATCATCACTACCTATTCTCTCTCTTAGCCTACCACTACCCCAAGAAAATGAAAAACTTCATGATTTGATGGAGGTTGACCAGAGAAATGATAAGGGAAGCTGTAATAGTTGTAGTGTAGTGAAAGAAACCAAGAAACAAGTATGGTTAGCAGGGCCATTGATAATAGTTGGATTATTAACGTTTTCATTGCATGTAATTTCTCTCATGTTTGTGGGTCATCTTGGTAATTTACCTCTTGCTGCTGCTTCATTGGCTACTTCCTTTGCTTATGTTACTGGATTCAGCGTTTTGGTTAGTTGCTCTTATCATCTCTTTAACTCTTTATGCTTTTTATAGTAATGGTTTACATAGATACTAAATATAGATCTGAATTGAAATTTTTGAATATAGTTTCTTTGTTTCTACTTCACATATACGTAGTAGATCAGGAGTTGCACAGTAACTTCATATATAATATATATATTAATATCTTTAGCCTAAATAAATCTAAATATATTATTCTCCTAATAAGATCAATACGGAAAATATATCACACGTATATTTTCCGATATCTCATATCTCTAACAGAGGTATATATGTATTGTTATAATATAAACCTCGTAAATTGTGATAACAGACACAACATCGATTTCATAAGATTAATAACAAAGCTTATAGGTGGCAAAAGGGTAGTCATTTGGTTTGAATTTGGCTGGGTTGGGTATCTTAATTTTGATTCGATAGAGGTCAATTTATTTAGGTCAAGTTACTTTGGGGGTTTTAGTTAATTTGTTTGTTATAATTTATAAATAATAGATGATCAGTTTTAGCTTAGATAAGAGTCTAATTCAGTCATCTAATCAATAATAATAATAATAACTTAACCTAATACTAAAACAGACATCGGGAGTGACACGTGTCACATCCTGGTGCTGTTTTTTCCCTCCAAAACTCCCCTTCCCTTTTTAACCTTTTTTTATTTTTTGTTTTTTTGTTAATATTTGATTCTATAATAATATCTTTCCATATCTTTTGTATTATTTTTATGACAAATACATATTCTTTTTACACTAAGCGAAAATTGGTAATTAGCACCGATTCAAAACCCCCATTTAGCACCGGTTTTGAACCAGTTCTGATTTGAGGGATGCCAAAACCCAAGACTTTTCGCGCCGATTCTTGCTGTGAAATGGTGCAAAAAATTCCCCAAAAAAATTAAGAAAAAAAATTTCGCACCGGTTCTTGCTGTAAACCGGTGCGAAAAGTCCTGGCGCGCCTTTATTTTTTTATATACTTTTCGCACCGGTTCTAGCTTTGAACCGGTGCAAATATTTGCTTTTTTTTGGCAATAAAAATAATATTAATACTAATTAATAATAATAATGAAAACTTGTACATCCTGCATTAATTCTACCATTATTATATATTATAATAATAATTATTATTACTATTATAATATTATAAATAATAATAATAATAATAATAATAATAATAATAATAATTTCTAAATTGAAATAATAACAACAATACATAGATATTAATTAATAATCCCAAATGCAATAAAATGATGTGTCATATTTACAATTCCTCAAAAAAAAAATGTCATATTTACAAACAATACTAATCAATAATGTAGTTAACAAGTTCAAATAGAAATGACATTTATAAATTAAATGTGATGAAAGACGCCAACATGTCTCGAACTTCATTAAGTTCCTTGCTCGTCAACGGACCTCCCTTTTGAACCTCGCAAAACTTGGAATAAACAAAAAGTATGTTAGAATTAATTACTTAGGTTATGCATGTAAAAATACATTTACAAATTCAGTTAGGCAAAAATTTATTACTTAGGCTTATATGACTTCTACTTCACCTATTTTCTACATTTTTTATCAAATCAACTCATTCTTTCTCATAAAATGTCATTATTACTTAGTTATATGCGGCTAAGGCTTGAAATTACATGAATTGAGCAATTCAAGTGTTTTAGGACGCATTTTGATCCAAAATGGCCCAAATAAGGCCTATATGACTACTAGGATGCCTATTTCCTACAATTCTTGTCAAATCAACTCATTCTTTCTCATAACATGTCATTATTACTTAGTTATATGCGGCTAAGGCTTGAAATTACATGAATTGAGCAATTCAAGTGTTTTAGGACGCATTTTGATCCAAAATGGCCCAAATAAGGCCTATATGACTACTAGGATGCCTATTTCCTACATTTCTTATCAAATCAACTCATTCTTACTCATAACATGTCATTATTACTTAGTTATAGGTAGATAAGGCTTGAAATTACATGAATTGAGCAATTCAAGTGTTTTAGGACGTATTTTGATCCAAAATGGCCCAAATAAGGCCTATATAACTACTAGGATGCCCATTTCCTACATTTCTTATCAAATCAACTCATTCTTAATCATAACATGTCATTATTACTTAGTTATAGGCGGCTAAGGCTTGAAATTACATGAATTGAGCAGTTCAAGTGTTTTAGGACGCATTTTCCTCCAAAATTGCCCAAATAAGGCCTATATGACTACTAGAATGCCTATTTTCTACATTTTTTGTCAAATAAACTCGTTCTTTCTCATATGATGTCATTATTACTTAGTTATAGGCGGCTAAGGCTTGAAATTACATGAATTGATCAATTCAAGTGTTTTAGGACGCATTTTGATCCAAAATGGCCCAAATAAGGCCTATGTGAGTACTAGGATGCCTATTTCTTACATTTCTTGTCAAATCAACTGATTCTTTCTCATAACATGTCATTATTACTCAGTTGTAGGCGGCTAAGGCTTGAAATTACATGAATTGTGCAATTCAAGTCTTTTAGGACGCATTTTCCTCCAAAATGGCCCAAATAAGGCCTTTTTTACTACTAGGATGCCTATTTTCTACATTTCTTGTCAAATCAACTCATTATTTCTCACAACATGTCATTATTACTTATTTATAGGCGGGTAAGGCTTGAAATTACATGAATTGAGCAATTCTAGTGTTTTAGGACGTATTTTCCTCCAAAATGGCCAAAATAAGGCCTATATGACTACTAGGATGCCTATTTCGTACATTTCGTATCAAATCAACTCATTCTTACCCATAACATGTCAATATTACTTAGTTATAGGTGGCTAAGGCTTGAAATTACATGTATTGAGCAATTTAAGGGTTTTACGACGCATTTTCTTCCAAAATGGCCCAAATAAGGCTTATATGACTATTAGGATGCCTATTTTCTACATTTCTCATCAAATAAATTCATTCTTTCTCATAAAACATCATTATTACTTATTTATAGGCGGCTAAGGCTTTAAATTACATGAATTGAGTAATTCAAGTGTTTTAGGACGCATTTTTATCCAAAATGGCCTAAATAAGGCATATATGACTACAAGGATGCCTATTTCTTACATTTCTTGTCAAATCAACTGATTCTTTCTCATAACATGTCATTATTACTCAGTTGTAGGCGGCTAAGGCTTGAAATTACATGAATTGTGCAATTCAAGTCTTTTAGGACGCATTTTCCTCCAAAATGGCCCAAATAAGGCCTTTTTGACTACTAGGATGCCTATTTTCTACATTTCTTGTCAAATCAACTCATTATTTCTCACAAAATGTCATTATTACTTATTTATAGGCGGGTAAGGCTTGAAATTAAATGAATTGAGCAATTCTAGTGTTTTAGGACGTATTTTCCTCCAAAATGGCCAAAATAAGGCCTATATGACTACTAGGATGCCTATTTCGTACATTTCGTATCAAATCAACTCATTCTTACTCATAACATGTCAATATTACTTAGTTATAGGTGGCTAAGGCTTGAAATTACATGTATTGAGCAATTTAAGGGTTTTACGACGCATTTTCTTCCAAAATGGCCCAAATAAGGCTTATATGACTATTAGGATGCCTATTTTCTACATTTCTCATCAAATAAATTCATTCTTTCTCATAAAACATCATTATTACTTATTTATAGGCGGCTAAGGCTTGAAATTACATGAATTGAGTAATTCAAGTGTTTTAGGACGCATTTTTATCCAAAATGGCCTAAATAAGGCATATATGACTACAAGGATGCCTATTTCTTACATTTCTTGTCAAATCAACTGATTCTTTCTCATAACATGTCATTATTACTCAGTTGTAGGCGGCTAAGGCTTGAAATTACATGAATTGTGCAATTCAAGTCTTTTAGGACGCATTTTCCTCCAAAATGGCCCAAATAAGGCCTTTTTGACTACTAGGATGCCTATTTTCTACATTTCTTGTCAAATCAACTCATTATTTCTCACAACATGTCATTATTACTTATTTATAGGCGGGTAAGGCTTGAAATTACATGAATTGAGCAATTCTAGTGTTTTAGGACGTATTTTCCTCCAAAATGGCCAAAATAAGGCCTATATGACTACTAGGATGCCTATTTCGTACATTTCGTATCAAATCAACTCATTCTTACTCATAACATGTCAATATTACTTAGTTATAGGTGGCTAAGGCTTGAAATTACATGTATTGAGCAATTTAAGGGTTTTACGACGCATTTTCTTCCAAAATGGCCCAAATAAGGCTTATATGACTATTAGGATGCCTATTTTCTACATTTCTCATCAAATAAATTCATTCTTTCTCATAAAACATCATTATTACTTATTTATAGGTGGCTAAGGCTTGAAATTACATGAATTGAGTAATTCAAGTGTTTTAGGACGCATTTTTATCCAAAATGGCCTAAATAAGGCCTATATGACTACAAGGATGCCTATTTCCTACATTTCTTATCAAATCAACTCATTCTTACTCATAAAATGTCATTATTACTTAGTCATAGGCGGCTAAGGCTTGAAATTATATGAATTGAGCAATTCAAGGGTTTTAGGACGCATTTTCCTCCAAAATTGACCAAATAAGGCCTATATGACTACTAGGATGCCTATTTCCTACATTTTTTGTCAAATAAACTCATTATTACTAATAACATGTCAGTATTACTTAGTTATAGATGGCTAAGGCTTGAAATTACATGAATTGAGCAATTCAAGTGTATAAGGACGCATTTAGATCCAAAATGGCCCAAATAAGGCCTATATGACTACTAGGATGCCTATTTCCTACATTTCTTATCAAATCAACTTATTCTTACTTATAACATGTCATTATTACTTATTTATAGGCGTCTAAGGCTTGAAATTACATAAATTTAGCAATTCAAGGGTTTTAGGACGCATTTTCCTCCAAAATGGCCTTAATAAGGCCTATATGACTATTTAGATGCCTATTTCCTACATTTCTTA